GATATACCCCACACCCCTCACAGTAACACACTGATATACCCCACACCCCCTCACTGTAATACATTGATATACCGTCCCCCCACCTGTCACTGTGAAACTCTGATGTATCCTGCAGCCTTTACTCTATCACTCTGATATATCCTGCACCCCTCACTCTATCACGCTGATATATCCCGCACCCCTTAGTGTAACTGTCTAATAAATTCAATGTGGATTTGTAACATTGATTGAAATTGTCATTTCTGTTTTGTCTCAACAGCCAGAAAATATCTTGTGTGTGGACCGGAATGGTAATCAGGTGAAGATCATCGATTTTGGATTGGCAAGAAGGTAGTGTACAACAGGAACACTGTGTTATAAAGACCATATATTTTATTGCCAGTATTTGAGATCAATTACTGAAATAGTAAAAGAACTGATATAAAAACAATGGATTGTTATTGAATTTCTACACATTTAAAAAGCAAGTAACCTGACACTCACTGCTATCCTGTGGGTCAAGGTCTGCAGATGAGCTGATTTTGGGGAATGTGCGTACAATGGAGATTCGGCCGGCAACAAGTAGCTGATTGGTCTGTGGACCAATGACCTGTCATCAGTGACAAAAACCTTCTGCCTGCCAACAATAATGTGATTGGCTCCCAGGGAGCTGAACAGCTTAAGCGTGTGAAAATTTGTGAGAGGCTGTCAGATCTCTGTAAATGTAGGAGCTGTCTCTTTTCTCTGCAGTAAAAAGAAACCCACCTGAAGCCTGAGGGAGGCTAGATTATTCTCCCTCAGCAGTTGTTGTAAACTCTAATTCTTGGACACTAAACCTGGGCCTTCGTAAGCCTGAAGTAGCTGTCCCATACCTTCTGCAAACGAACGCAAGTATCTGGACAAGGAGAATCCAGGAAAAGTGTGTCTGAACAATCCAAAATGAACACCTCAGTAATCCCTGTGAACAGAGACGATTGAACTGCCTTCCTAGTCTTTCCTCCTGATCCTCTAATCCGTGTATTTATTCCTGTCTATGTGCGTCCATTGGGGTAAGTTTAAAAGGGGCACTAATTGGGAGATAACTATAGTTCATAATAGTTTATCTGTACCTGGAATCTGCAGTCTTGTAATAAATAGTAACTTTTGTTCAGCATAGAAACTGGTCCATGCTTTCTGTCAACCTCTACATATAAACATCAGGTAATTTGGGGAAAAAACAAGAAAAAACTCGGTCTCAGGCTTGCTGCAGTGTTCCAGCGAAGCTCAGCGCAAGCTGGAAGAACAGCACCTCATTTTCCGTTTGGGGACCCTGGAGCCTCTGGAACTTGATATCGAGTTCAATAATTTTAGGGCCTGAGGCACCTTCTCCCATGTTCTTATACCAACCCTCACACATGAGGCCTTGTTATCCCATGGACTTCTACCACTAGCAACACATTGTCAGCCACTAATGGTCCCTATAAGCTGCTACTCGTTCCCCCAAGGTGAACTTTACTCAGTCCTTTGTTTGTCCAATGTTTTTCTCTCTGTGGACTCCATTTCCACCTATCATTTACTCCTTCCCCTTATTCCACTGTCAGTATATGTACCAACCATTTCCTAGCTACCATCAGTTCTGGACTCAAAATATTAACTCTACTTTCTCTGCCAGAGCTGCTGAGTTTATCCAGCGATTTCTCTTTTTGTAGGAAAATTGGGGAATTCTGTGTACTGGTTAAAATCTTTAACTTTTGAGATGAGTCTGGGCATAGCAGAGTTGATGTCCAGCTCTCTACCGCAGTGAGGGGTCACAGTGTCAGGGATCATGTACACACAATGAGGGTAGATGTTCAATCTTGTTGCCAATATTTCCAACTCCTCAAACCAGGTGCAAATGCAAAACCCTGTGGAAAGTTGAAATGAAGCCGAAAAAAAAAATGCTGGAAATGTCTTTGGAGGGTGAAAGTGAGTGAACATTTTAGCTCATGAACTTTCATCATTGGGGAATGGGAGAGATTGGAACAACACAAAGAAGGCAGCTGTATGGTAGGGGGAAGACAAGTGAGGTTAAATCCCAGTTGGAGTAGGCAGTGCCAATGAGGAATGATGATCAATGCCGCCAACTCGAGCACCCACTCTGGTAGGTCTTTGGTCAGGGATCTCAACAAGAGGGTGAGTGAGGTGGGGTACTGGTTTCAAGAGGCCATGGCAGGGCTAAAAGAGGGGGAAGACCGTTTGAAGCAGGGGTAACCCTCCAATGGGTTTTGATTGAGACCCCTTCCCCCATCCCCACCCACACCCTCCATTTCCCTCCTTTGTTGAAGTGGCTGGGCTCACCATGTGGTGTAGCCTTCCTCTTGGGCTAAAGATACCAGTGTGAGGATGGCATGATGCCCTTAAGCAGCTCTTACTTGGTCATTCAAGCACCTCAATGGCCCAAGTACTTTTATTGCAGATGATATTAAAGGAGTTCAAATCAACCCTTTTATGAGGGGGCTTTATTTCGGTCAACTTTATAAAACTCTCACTCCACTGATTACTAGCTCCTAATATTTGTATCATAGCCCCACTCTCTCATTAGAGACAATGGGTGGTGGTTTAGCCTGAGGGCCACCATTCCTCAGATGAGGGTTGAAGTTGAGAAGGAGAGTCCTTCGTGGTAACCTCAGCCCATGTAGGAATTGTAGCCATTCTGTTGGCATTACACTGCATCACAGACCAGCTGTCCAGCTAACTGAGCTAACCGATTCCCTCTCCATATTTATGTAATTGATTCAAACCAAATCAATTCTTAGATAATAACAAATTCACTTTTTATTTTTGTATAATAAAAGAACAAAGATGACAGATTATATTAAGTTCCAAAAGTCTCTTTCCAGTATGTCTAACAGTTTCTGAGAACTTGCTGTTTTCTTGTAAAACAATCAGAAAGCTGGCTGCTGCTATCCTCCTATTCCAGTTTTGGAATCTCTCCGTTCTCATACTTTTACAACAATCAGATCGATCCTCAGTTTTTTTACTATCATATGTTTTGTTGAGTGTCTGTTATCCCATGGTTCCTTCTTATTGATATAATGCTTGATGTATTAGAGCTTGTTGTCCCCTTTATGAGACCTCCATGTACACCTCAAATTCTCTGCAGCTTTGTAGTTCTTGTTGTTTGGTATCTTTTATTAACTTGTGCTAAGTCTCACCGGAGTGGTGCGCTGGAAATCAATCCCTGTTAATCCTGAGTCATCTAAAGATTATAGAAAGTATGCAAAATTCTCCAATTTTTCTATCTCTCAGACTCAGGTTAAACAGAAAGCACAGATCAGGATTTTGCACCAGACACGAATTATTATTTATTGCAAGTGGATAGACATTAGCTACAGGTGAACAATTATGAACCATCAGAATAGAACTCTACTGGTTAAAACACTAACACGCCTCCCTCCCCCATGTAAACTATCCCTCTACACACACAGACAGACAGAAAAAGAACATGGGTTTTATGAATGGAGGGAAAGAACAGGAAAGCAGTCGGTGGTCTCTGTCACACGGTTTTCTGAGATGGTCCTTGTGCTGATCTGAGCGCTGCTTCTTAGTTTTCCTTCTCTGGATGCTTTCGCTTGTTTTCAGGAGGCATATATCAACTGGCTCATACTTATAAAAAAAACTCGCATTGTTAATTACAAGACACAGCTTACAACAACTGAAAGAAAAATAAACTGCTTTTCTTCAGGCTTAAGGTGCTTTTTTTTTGTAAAAAGAGAACAGAGCGAGTTCCTCAGCACGTGGATGACTGATGGTTTCTCCCTACTTTGTTCACAATCCCAAGCAGTTCAGCTACCTGGGAGCCAATTACATAGTTGTTGGTAGACGGAAGACCTTAATCATCAGTAACTGGTTATTAGTCCACAAACCAATCAACTACTCGTTGCCAGATGAATGTCCATTTGTACACATTCCCTAACATCAGTTTATATATAAACTTCTGCCACTACTGCTTGAACCAGATGCTGTGTAAAAGCAGTTACAATGAGCGTCAGATTACTTATTTTCCACAAAGTGCGTCAAATCTCACAACAATCCAATTTTTAAATAGCTCTTTTCCATTCTAGTCAACAATCAAAAATACAGAAACATTAAAAAAGGCCTTTACATTGAACTTGATATTCCAATAATATTATTATTGACTGATAAAATGTAGTTGCCAAATTTAAAAAATGTGAAATGAAGATTTTTTTTTTTCTTTATGCCATAGATTTAAATCCATGGCCCCTACTTGATTGAAAATCTCTTGCTAAGGGCAAACTTAATGTCGGCTATAAAGAAAGTTTTCCATGTTTCTTACAAATTTCTTCACAAATCTAACACTTATATTTTCTATGTACAATTGAAAGACTCTGCCACCAATACATTTAACTCTCGGTCAAAACATCTTGTGCTAAATCTTCTTCCTTCAAATCTTTTGGCTCCTGTTTGATTTTGTATAAAATATTATAACATTTGGAACTGTTTAAGGCAGAGTGATACTTTGAATCACACCTGAAATATTAACTGACTACATCCTAAGTGTTTCTGGGATTTATTCACTTATTGAATCTCAACTTGTCAAAATTATCAATAGCATTTCTGTCCTCATTTCTATTGGTTACAGTTCTCCTTTTGTACTGTTGCCTACAATCTGCATCTAGATGGTTTCGCAAATTTATTAACATTGTCTCCTCTATTTTCTGATTGCCTTCTTTGTGCAATGAATACTGTTAGGAAGCATTATTTTCTTAAGAATTTGTTTTAAGTTCTTCTGAAATTTGTTCCAGTACACTTATCCACAAATTTAACTTCTATCAAAACTAGAAGTCTGTTCATACATGATAGTTTGGTGCAGTCCAATAACCTAAATTCTAGCACAGATTTGGGAATTTCCAAAGGGCAACTAGGGATGGGTAATAAATGCAAGCCAGCAATGCTCATGAATGAAAATACAAAAACAACTCTCAAACTGTACTGCATTGGACGAGAGCTCACATTCTGTGTCATTAGTAACTGAAACATTGTGATTGTGAATGTTCTATTGCATATGTTCATTTGGCCTTCATGCTGAAGACATGAAGGGACCCGTCTTCATATGGACCTTGCCTCCCCTGCTCAGAAATCATGACCTCTTTGACATTCACCCCAGACAACCAACTGGAAGATGATAGCTCCAATACTGCAGCAATCCCTCAGTGTTCCACAGGCCTGCCAATCCAGAAATCAGCTTATGTCAGGGTTGAATCTACAACCTTCTGTCTCGAAGGAAGAATTTTAAAAATATTCATTTGCGGGATTTGGGCATCGCTGGCTGGTCAGGATTCTGAGTGGTTTGGAGGGGAACCTGCAGGTGGTGGCGTTCCCGTGTATCTGCTGCCCTTGTCCTCCTAGATAGAAGTGTTTGTGGGTTTGGAAGGTGCTGTCTGAATACAGCAACTGAACCACTGAGTCAAAATTTAGGTGTTTCTGTCTTTCTCCATCTTGCTACACAAATACCCATGAACTCTCTTTCTCTTCCTCCCCACCCCACCCCTTTTATTTATTGGCCAGTGGATTGAATGATTGTAGGAGATACTGGTGAGTACCGGCAGTGTCAGTATGTAGGATGGTGTCCTTCCTTCACTTACCATTTCATTCCCCGCCTCAGGTACAAGCCCAGAGATAAACTGCGTGTGTCCTTTGGAACACCAGAGTTCCTCGCTCCAGAAATTGTCAACTTTGAGCATGTCTCCTTCCCTACAGACATGTGGAGCCTGGGTGTCATCACCTACATGCTGTGAGTAACTGACTGTAGACAGAGTTCACTGTGTTAGGCACGGAGCTCTGTGCTCTGAGTTTGGGGACCGTTTCAAGAAAGGATCCCAGAGATTAGCTCCGAAAGCATCAGGGAAGCCTTGTGAGTGAGATTGTTGGATGGTGGGGAAAGAGAGAGTGTGTTGTGTGGAGATGCAATCAGGACCTTCAAGGATTTAGCAAAATCTCAAATTTATGGCTACAAGAGGCTGAGGAGTTCATGTGCACTTGCCCAGACGGGTCACACTTATTTGAATATTCAAGCTGTAAGAGGAAGAAAGGGCGAATAAGATGATTCTAGAGGCTTCTAGTTGCTGTATTGGTTGACTCAGATCTGTCAGACTGACCTTTCATACACAGGCTGTGATCAGTTAAACTGGAACCCCCTCATGCAGTTTGGGATTTGTCCGACTGTAACCTTCTCTCCAATTCTGATTGGGATTTGGCAAACAGTAATCCACTCACATACAATCTAGAATCTATCAGACTGTAAACATTTTACACAGACTGGGCCCTGTCAGACTGTGACTATATCATATAGACAGTAGATTGGTCAGACTGTAATCCTCACATACAGACTGGGTTGGTCAGACTGTAATCCTCACACACAGACTGGATTGGTCAGACTGTAATCCTCACACACAGACTGGATTAGTTAGACTGTAACCCTCACACACAGACTGGATTAGATAGACTGTAATCCTCACATGCAGACTGGATTGGTTAGACTGTAACCCTCACACACAGACTGGATGAGTTAGACTGTAACCCTCACACACAGACTGGATTGGTCAGACTGTAATCCTCACACGCAGACTGGATTGGTCAGATTGTAATCCTTACACACAAAGACTGGATTGGTCAGACTGTAATCCTCACACACACACTGGATTGGTCAGACTGTAACCCTCACACACAGACTGGATTGGTCAGATTATAATCCTTACACAAAGACTGGATTGGTCAGACTGTAATCCTCACACA